TTTTTATCATAAAAATGCCTATTCATGTACCGTTTCTGATAAAATCTTAAACTTGCCCTGCAGTAGCACTATACACTGCCGGAGGTGCTGAAAAATCGGTAACTATCAGTTTTTAACACGTACTGAAAATTGAATTTTACAATCGACCCCGATAACTCCAGCTGTTTTTTGTTTCCCTTCAGAGTTCGAGTTAACGGGGTTCTACTGTACTCGCAGGATTTTTAATGAAAACCGCGTGAAAACTCATGGGTGAACCGGAAATCACTAAAATGGCATTGGATCGGGAAAATGACCACACAAGAAGAAAGCACAAACATGAAGAAATTAAGATGGAGTGTTTTAATTGAGAATTATTCTTGATGAATCTGTTCGGCCGGAAGTCCCAAATAAATCCTCTATCGACCTTTAGTAAAATCCAACTGGTGGTCTATCATCAATACTGCGTTCTGATTGGTTGAGCTACTACTAGGCTATATGTTATAGCTCACTGGTTGCGAAAAGAGCCGGCTTTTTGGCGGCAAAAAAGGATTAAAGTCTAGCTTTATCTAGCTAAAGTTGTTTTGTCTCGATATTTTTCTACCTACTAGTTGGATTTTACGTAACAGGAGAGATTTCGAAAATGATTTGTTAAAAAACTTAAACGCTAAAAGATTTTTAAAATACATTTAAAAAAAGTGAACGACGTTTCGGCGCTACGTTACGCCATTATCAAGTTGAAAAGTGAAAAAGTATAAGGTGTAAAACGAATATATAAAATTTGAAACAATACATAAAATATTTGCGGGTCCAATGGGTATAATTCCCAAGGTAAGAAACACAATAACAGAAAAAAACGTACGAAAGTGTCACGTAAATAGTTTGGCGCGAATGGAGTCGGCTTGCGTGTTAAGAGAAGGCTTGATGTCCTTTATGTATAACATCTCGTAGACTAAGCAATCAAACTTGCGGTTACAAAAAACACACAATGATGTTTTGCAAGTGTTGCAACAGCAACAACAGCAGCAACAACAACAACAACAAATGCAAGCGTTTGCAATGCTGTTCCAGCAACAACAGCAGGCTGAACTTTTCTTGAAACTTTTCGAGAAACTAGAAAAAGTCATTTTTTTATCTTTCTGAGCTGATGAAGAACTTGTCATTTAATTCTTCCTAACAACCATGAAAAACAAAATATTGTATTGTTATGTCAGTGCAATCTAGTTGTTGTCTTGATGTGAGATATTTTTATGCCTGTGATAAATTCTTTTGGATGGCAATAAAATTATATTATTAATTATTGTGCTTGAGTGAACTGCCTATGTTATTTCCTGAAAGCTTATTTGATAAAAACTTATCGTGTTCAGATATATGGCAAAAAAGACACAAACACCATTAGGCCAGGCTAGCTAGAATCACCTCATATTCAATAATGTTAATGTTGTTAATGATGGTCTAATAAAATTCTTTCTACTTTTTTTATTACAAAAAAGACCACAGAAATGAATCAAAGTTTCTTTCTTATTGATGTCTTTTAGACCTTATTCAGTCTATGTAGTAGTCTTCCATAGTTAGCGTAAGTAGTCTTCCAAAACTGGTGGCTGAACATCAAAATATTCAGCTGTTAGGTTACCATATAAGCATGTCAGACAGTTCCGTAATATGGCACCTACAATGTACATTTCTCCTACAGCACTCAAACCAATCTTTAAGTTTTTCTTGAAGTCAAGAAATTTAAAATCATTTATGACGTCCCCAAAAATCCACTCCACTGACATTCGCACTTTACTCACTGACTTGCTGAACAACTCCATTTGCTGAGTGAGCCTTGCTGTGTTTCTGAATGGGGCTTGCAAATGTATCCTTAATGGATACGCTGGATCACCATATATGCAGAGGGGTACGCCCATTGGTGAAAATGCATACATGTTTAAATCACGCAGAAAACCTGACTCTGCCAACATAGCTGCATCATGCATCTTCCCCTCTGAAAACAAAAAAATCATGCAATGATGAATATATGGCACACAGGTCACATGTTCTAAAACAAAAGACCTGATAATCATAGTTGCCTTGAAGGGACCCTAATGGGCTACATTCTCTGAGGGTACATGTACACTCGATCATGACAGGTGGTCAATTTTTTCTTCATATATTTTTATCTTTCAGTTAACTTCAAGACTTTATGCTTCCCAAGCAATGCCTTTCTATTTTGTCAAAAACTCATCTTTGCCAACAGTTAATTAAAAAAAATGTTAAAATCACTGGTGTTTACAAAGGGGAGTGATGTAGCAACATTAGTTAGCTGAGGTATGTAGTAGAAATTCACTCCTACCTACTGGGCCAAAAAGATTGGCAATGACTCCATTTGGCAGACTCCCAGACTGGAACTTAAGGGCATGCACCCTTTTATGTCCCTTATATACTAGCCTTTGGTCTTTTCCTGGACGACTGATTGCACCCACAGTTCCGTCTATGAATCCGAAACAATTATCAAGAGCAGCGCCAGCACGGTGAATTGCATTTGCGTACTCTTGCAGAGAGGCAGGGCTTAAAAGGAATTGATTCCACTGGGTTAGTCTCTGTTGGTGATTGTTGTAAATAAAATTCATAACTTCTTTGGTGGTCATGCTCATAACGGGAACAGGACGTCCAAATCGTGCAATCATATCACTGAGGCGGCAGGGATAAGCAAAACGTCGCAGAAGCATACACAGTCCTTCAGTACCATCACATATACTCCTTTGCTGGCACTTAATGACCGGAGGGATACCCAAAGCATCAGCCAACCTTGGAATATCTTGTTTTTCGGGGGCACCCAACGAGAATATAGTTCAAAACCACTTAAACATAGCATTTCTAAACGTATTTTAGTATTTGAACGGTAGATATAGGCATATTTTTATCTCCTAAAAATTTTTCATCTGTTCGGATTTCCTAGCTGAAAGTCTAGTGATCCGAAAAATTACAGGGATTAAAACTAACCTTTTCGAAAATTTCAGCCAAAAAAAAGGCTCCCGAAAATTCTAGGTGACCTTTTTAGGGTAAAAATCCGTTAAAAATGGACAATTATACCATTTTTTAGATGTTCGAAAATCCTAGGAGAGGCAGTAAAACAAGAAATTTTACAACAAATGTTCCGAAAATTCTAGATCTCAAATAGTCTTCCGAACAGATATTTTCCGAAAATTGATGCTGAGTGCCCCTGGTTTTTCGACACGAAAGTCAGCTACACACTCGACCGGGGCCAAGGCATCGAAGTTAAAGAGTTCGTAGTTTTCGCGTGGAAACTCGGGATTTTTTGACTGATTAATGTCGTAGAGGAGCATAAAATCGTCTTCGTCAATAATTCCATCAACATAACATTCCAAGACTAAGTTTCTAGTCTCTTTAAACGACGCCATTTAATAAACACACATGTCACTTACGACTTTCGCGGAGGTCCGCGTATTCATTTTAAATAGTGACGTTGGCTTAATGTTTACAAGTGACGTGACCGACGACGTTCTCGTTCCCAGTTTTTTTCGGTAATGGTGTCACGTCCGCGTCATAGATTTGTCCGGTGCTTAAGGTCCCTCTTACGAAACGACGGCGGCGACGGCTACGAAACCTTCACTTAAAAAGTGAATGCTGGCTGCTTTAAACTTTATGAGTTTATCCTATCTTGTTCAATTCGTCAATTGTTGGCAAATTTTTGTGGAGTTGAATTCTAAAGGACTGTATCAAAGTTCGGGAAAAGGAAAAGAAAGTTGTTAGCCTGCGCGTGCGTGGTAGGCGCTCGGAAGTAGTGGGCACAAGAAAGAACGGGCGCGCGAGAGGGAGACACGCGCGAGGGGAGAGGGAGTACTCCCTCTCCCCTCGCGTGTCTCCCTCTCGCGCCCGTTCTTTCTTGCGCCCACTACTTTCAAGCGCCTGCTACGCAGGTTAGAAAGTTGTTGTCTTCTGTTCCCGTCCTCGACAAAACCAGAAATTAGGCACTTTCACGTTCTGAATCATGCAACGACGGCAAACTTGAAATGTACAAAAAAGCGTGATGCACGTGCAAAGTTGTTGTTTTGCTTAAATCTAAATCTATTGCTTTTTTGCCGCTCTCGTTGACGTCGGCGTCGTCGGATCTTAAGCTCCCTAGTAACATCCGTCACTGTCTCCAAGCAACAGTAATCCTTCACTGAAATTCTGTTATTATGTTTATTTTGAATCATACGAAATTTAATAACAATCTTCTAAGGGGGCAATTTTAACAATACTATTAACCTGGATCACACAGGGCTTGTTTTTCCGCAGTTAGACCAAAAGCAAGAGAAAAACTCAAGACAAAACTTAGTACCGCTAAGTGTTCCGGCCACTGATTGAAGGTGTTTTGATACATTAACGATTACTGTTGCAGGTAAAATGTAGAATTTGAACATTGTTACACTTAAGAAATGATTTAATATAATGATTTAATTGAAAATGGGTTACCTTAAGTGTAAAATAGTCACTCAGTTGTTTTAAATAACTTTTTTTTCCCTCATATATCCTAGCGCACAAGTACAAAACCGCAGTATATTCGTTTTACATTTTTAAAAGAAAGAGGATTAAAAATAAGCAGCATTTTAACAAGTATAACTATGAATGGCACAACATATTTCAGATCTTTTCTTTTGAGTCCCAAACAAACTGTCAAGTGCTACTTGATATAGACTTTTATGCCCCTAAAGATCTGCCTCTGTAACACTAAACAGCTGGTAATATATCGGGCGAGAAATCTAGAAATTTTGACCTAATTTAACTAGCAATAAGTTTTCTTTTTGTTTAATTTAAGAGAATAAGATGAGTAGATCACTGATGAAAACGTCTTTAAATTTATCCAGGAAGTAGCTTCAGTGTCAGAGTCGTTATACAATTATGATTTAAAACACAGGTAATAGTACTCTCAATATTTTTATTGACAGAAAAGCTGAGAACCAGATTGTAATAAAAACTAATCGAAAATAATTTGGCCTTTTTTTTAGGACACAGAAGCTGGCTTGTTATAGAACAGTATGTCGTCTTGTGGTGTGGCATTTTCCGGCGGTGGCATGCGATCCGCAGCCCTTTGCTCGGGCGTTTTACGCTACTTGCTTCAACACAAAATCGTTTTCGATTATTTGAGTTGTGTTTCTGGCGGTGGCTTTACAGGAGCAGCTTATCTCGACTGGAAATATCGTCATAATCAACAAGACAGCTCAGAATGGCATCATGAGTTCTTTAATCATCTTCGAAGGCGATGTGGAATTTTTTGTTCCTGGGGAAACCCTTTGATCGGAATCATTGACGCCGTCATACTAATTCTTCTCTGCGTTGTAGTAGCAATCATTCTTCCAGCTTTCACTTCGCTGGCATTTGCATTTCCCACGGCCTTTGCCGTGGACTTTCTTTTCGGAGATATTCTCCGCGCTGGATTCCACTGTCCTACAACTAGCACAAATTCTTCTTTCTCAAATCCAGTAACTGAAAACAAAGGCTGTACTTTAGTACCCAATGGCAGTCAAGATGAAACCTTTGTATTATTCGGAGCTCTGTTTGCAACTTCAGGCGGACTGTATGTCTTGAAATTTCTTTTTCGACCTTGTCGTTCCTCCATCCACAGTAAACTCGAGTTGTTGTATTTCATTTCTTGCTCTCTTTTCCTCATGACCTTTTTACCCTGGTTTTTCGAGGTCTTTTTGCGAGCTCAGACCTCCGTTTATGTAAACGGTTTTATTTTACTCGGCAGCGTCTTTTTGTGGCTTGGCTTTCCACCGCTACGTAACGCCGCGTCTTTGGCGCTGTTGGTGTATGCTTACGCCTACACGACAAAATGGAGAGTGTATCGGAGTCCAGTGCTTATGTTCAGTTACTCAGAAGACACGTTTTATAAGGCTTTGCTTGGATCCGCAGTTCTCTTGTGGATATCACCTTTCTTGGGAATGATCAAAATGGCCGCTGTTCACACCTACGGCAGGTAAGCCACTCAAAGTCTAGCATGTAGAACGGACGTTAGTTTTTCGCTTTTTTGTAGGCGAGCGAAGGCAAGGGCGAGGCAGCGTGGAGCGCGGGACACGGCGATGGGGAATTCTTTCCCAGACCCTCCCTTCACGTGTGCCTTGTGCTCCACGCCTACCACGCTTTGCCTATACTTGCAGGAGAAACCATTGAAAGTCAATCGAAGAGAGTGGAATGTTTTCGTTTTGCTTCGTTCTATCACACTTCGACACACCATTCAAATATAGAAATGTTTTGGCCTCCTTTGCACACAAACCAGCACAAGCGATTACTTTACCAAGTAGAACCCAAGTAATAGCGATAATCCTTTTTCCCTGTAGATCTTTTAGTCGTTGAGCAAAAGCCAAATAACGTATTCCATTTCAGCCTTAGCCGACGGAGATTTTCTCAAACACTTCAAAGTTCTTTGCATTGCTAAAAATTATCCCAATGCCTTATCAGGTTAGTGGATACTCATTTCCTACTTTCTGTTTTTTTTTAAAGATGGCGTTTGCAGAAGGCATTCTTCTTTCCTGAGAGAACACGGCGCCTAGGGTGCGCTGGGATATCAGTGAATGATTGTATACCGTTTTGCTCATGCGCAGAGGTTTCTGAGTGGGAAGAACTGGAGAAGGGATATGTTACTCTAGGTATGTATTAATGTCATAGGAGAAAGGCTTCCGCCTTCGTTTTTCTTATAAATTAGTAGCAAGTGTTGCCTAGTCCCAAGGCCTCATTATTCCGCGCGTTTTAGGTCACGTGGTCCGAGCGATACCCTTGACTGAGAAGGCCTGGGAAAACGCCGTACAGGGATTAGGCAACACCAAGTGTACAAATGAAGTGGATGGAAAGATTCTGGCTAGTTATTATGGGTAATTATAGGTTAACATCGCATAGTGTTTGCTGAAATAATGAAATAGTGCAAGAATAAAGACTAGATTTCGAGCAGTCCCCCAGGATCGTAGCGCAGCTAAGCAAGTGAAGAGCGAGCGGACGAGAAAAACAGGTGCGGCCTCGGGCCTCCCTCCAGTTTTCCTCTTGATTCGTTCGCTCTCCCTTATTTGGACAAGCTTCGAACGTGAATGGCAGAAAAAGGAATGCTCGACGTCTGAAAGAAGATGAAAATAAAGCTCAGAGCCGAGTTTCAGTGGAGCATAGCTGGTGAGCTGATTTGCGCCTGAGAAAATAAAAAACCGAAAAAAAAGTACAGCACGGGTTTAGATTGGTGGTAAACTGAAGAGTATAGAAGTCGATTACATTAGTTGTTAGTGGTACTGCATATATAAGCTCAATTCTAATGTCTTACATCAGGTGATCTTGCTGGAATGAAACCGGTATATCTATGCAATACAGTCGTGAACAACTGGCGAAAGGAACGCAACATCGCTAACACTGGTCACGATGCGGAAGCTTTTGAACTTCTTACCCTCTCCCCCACGGGCATAGAACGACTGGATGAGGACCCAGACGAACACAGCAGCTTCGCAGGTTGAGTTATCTCGATAATCAAGTTCCATACCATGACATTTTGAAACAACGGGTTCTGTCTTATTAGAAAATTTTAGTTCTCGATTATGAGAGCCACGGCGCGCAGCACACTAGTCTTTGAGTTTCCTTTGGTTCCTTGGGTGTCCTGTTGCTATGCAGGCGTTACAAACTGGTTTTACGTTTGTCAGGATGCATTTCAGCAAGTATGTCCAGCGGTGTCATCATAGCCTAATTTCAAATCGTAATACTTTTATCACGTTATTCTGAATGGCGCTAAGTCTCGCGAAATAGGGAGTTTTAAAGCCCCGACGACGGCGGCGGAAGCAAAAACGTCTCTTTATAAATGAATTCGCGCTTTTTCAAACTTTTTTGCGTTTATTCCAATTCGCTTGAAATGTCAAAAGAGAGCAAATTTCCCTGGGGCTGATTTTTTGGGGACCACACTAAAGTTTAAAAAGAGAAAGGGTGCGTTCGATTGGGAATTGAAATTTGGATTTAGATTTTAAAATCCGGATTCCGGATTTGCAATCGAACGCAAAATTCGAAAACGGCCGTATTTTCAACGCTGAGATATGTGTTCTTGAATTTCCTTTCTTTCCGTTTTTTTTTGGGGGTAAATCAGAAAAAGGATTTGAAAAATAGTTCTAAAGAACAGCGTCTTCGAATTTTCCAATCGAACAATAAAAAGGAAATCAATGAAATCGGGATTTGGATTTCTTAATAAAAACCCACCGTGAAGACGGATTTCAAGGAGGTGAAATCCGTTTTCGGATTTCGCGTTCGATTGCAAAAAATCCAAAATCAGGATTTCAAAATCTAAATCAGGATTTCGCAATCGAACGCAACCAAAGAAAAATTCGTCGTCGCTTGTTTACGTCCTCCATAAAACGTGAAGTTTTTTTCACGTCGAATTTGTGCAGAGACGTCAGAGAAATGTTTTGCTTTACAATAAGCCTATTGCGTTTTTGACGTTCTCGTTGCTGTCGCCGTCGCCGTTGCTAAGGCTCCATAAAGGCGCGCGAAATAGTTACAAATTTCCTGGTTTCAATTAAGACCCAAATCACACTCGTGAGTGCAGAATTGAACTCCCTTGTATGTCCTTTATTGCCCAACTATTGATTGACCCAATAATAGGGTCCGTAATTAGCAAAATTTGTGGTCAGTCTACCTTTTCTCAAATGATGTTTTACTGCCCAGCATCTGCTCGCAGCATCATTTATAGATCAATATCATACCTGTATGTTATTGACAATAATTGGTGCATCTGATAATGCAAGAACTACCCTTTGACTATTCGTCCTTTCATAGGTAAAATTCACCCACGTGATCTGAAGTTGTCTGACGTCACGGCTACATCAGCAGCTGCCTTAGCACTCTACATGGGAGTGTATGACGTTAGAACCGAGGCAGTGAGAAAGCTACAAATGGTGCTTGGTATCCATTTCGGCAAAGCCCTTGTATCTGATCCAAGCGAAGACGTAGCAGGATCGACATTTTCATATTGCAGGGTAGGGTTTATGTTCTTTGTATTGATAACTTTCGCTCGCGCGTGTTTCTGGAATAAAAGTACACGAAGCACGTGCAAAGTTGTTGTTTTGCTAATCTAACCTATTGCATTTTTGCCGTTTTCTTTGACGTCGCCGTCGTCGTTGCTAAAGCTCCCTAAAGAGGCGTCTACGGAGGTGAGAGAGCCTGCAGCTTAGAAGGTGTCCAATAGGATTTTCGGGATCCGAGATTTGGCTGAATTGACGTTCGGGATTCGGGATTTCAGAGGAAATGGGGACTGAGATTCAGGAATTTAAGGACGAGTCAGAAAATGTGGGATTTGTTGGTGTTTTTCGATGGGGATTCGATAAATGTTGTTTTAAAGAGCAGAGATCTGTTAGAATGGTAAGCTTCTATTGGCAAAAGTGTTCAGCATGCCGAAGCTAAACGATTTTTTCTCTGGCTTTTAGGTATATTTTTACTGTCATTATCCTGCCGATTTGTTCTCTCTTTTTTGACATATTAAATTTGTTGCACGTAGACATCTCAGAAAATTGTCATATTGCAGCGAGGCTATGATTTCTAACAATTCCCTCTAGTGTATTACTTAAGGCCAAGAAAAGTATGATTAAATCAAACAAGTTTGCTCTTTTCAGTTCCTTCCGGCCCTTATTCAGATGCTTATCGTGGTTCCTGTCATTCTACCACCGTTCCTTAGCAACCACTGGCACGTGATCGTGGTTTCATGGTACCTTGCCATCCTAGTTTTAGTGCTGTTTATTGCTTCTCTGTCAACTGGAAGTGAAAACGGTGGATGTCTTGATAAATTTGTCAGGTATTAGAAATGGTCGCTACTTGACAACTAATTGTAATAGGGTTTTAACACGTGACTGGAAAATAACGGGTGTGCTAGAGACTACGTATATACTCTGCTGTTGATTTAGTGATGAGTCTGCTTTAAGAAAATACTCTCACTTTGATGAAAAGTTCTCCAACAGACTACGCTGTTATTTTATACTAAAAAGACGTTTTTTTCATATTTCAGATGGTGCACAGTCAACATTTATCACGTAAGATTTGCTCGCCTTTTTCTGCAGACTATCGATGTCGGCCCAGTCCCTCCAGCCATCCTCAACCTCAGCGACGGAGGTCACATCGAGGGTCTGGGACTGCTAGCTCTTTTGAAAAAGAGGCTGAGAAAAATTGTAGTCATCGACGGGACCACCTCGGAGCATGGCCAAAGGGTATCATCACAGCTATTGCGCTCGCTTGAATTGGCGCGAAAAAAGTTGAGGTGCTCGTTTAGCGCGATGGACGACCGAGATATCACCGAAGATCTCCGAAGCAAACTTGACGAAGTACCCCCTCGACACAAACCTAGGTTTTACAAGTTTAGGGTGGAGTACAAGAACAAAAAGGGATATACAGTGGATAATGAGCAAACTGGGACGGGAGAAATAATGCTGATACTTCCTCGACATCCTGACGAGGGTATGTTAATCTTTTACCTCTGGATCAGAGTAAAAATTCTCATCTCTTGTCCCTATATGTCTGCAAGAGAAGATTAAGAGAGCAGTAGACAGAACGTGTTAAAACTTATCTGCGGAAAAATCCGTAAATCTGTAATGATCTGCGGAAATCTCAGATCTTGGTTAATAAGTTATTTGTCGCATGGCCTTTTTAGTGGTATACTCTGGATAATATAAAACTCGCTCGCGCTGTCGCTCTCTTCGTCGCTCATACTAAAGAAGTATCGGTATGCCAGTATTTTTCTTTTAGTTATTGAAAACATAGTTATACTTGGTCGGTAATTTTAAATGGCTGTTTCCGCCCTTGCACTCGTACCTTTTACTCACAACTCAAAAGAGCCGTCGAGCCGAGAAAAATTTTCCTAAGGCCCAGTCATTACAGAAAAATCTTGCCCGCTCAGCAGCCAGTTAGAGCGTGCGTACTATTGAAGCCATATAGAATAACGAGTAAAACTTGCACTATGCTGTTTCAGTACTCATCAAGCTCATATATGAGAAAATATGATTACAGTCGGTATTTTGTCTACATAACGAATACACCTTTAAACTGCACTTGATCGAATGTTATTTTCTTTGTTTCTTTCTTTCAAGGCACTCCCTCCCCAATAGGCTTAGCACGATCGTGGGAAGATTACACTCGTGACACCAATCAGCCAATGAGCGGAAAGAAGTGGGGCTCAGGACCCGACCTTGAGGCTGGAGAGGTTGATCGACTCACAGGTTGTTGCTGCGAATGCTGTCACGTGACATGCTGGAGTGCTTGTTGCGGGTGAGTGTGAGCGACTAAGTGACGAGCGCGCGCAGCCTAGAAGAATTTTTTAAAGTATTGCTCAGTAGACACTGTGTATGGCTCTTACGTCTTGCGCACGTAACATAACACCGTGAAGCTTTTGGCGTTAGCTGAACTTGTGATATCTTGACACTCGGTAAAATTCCCTAATTACAAGGAAAGCTTCTAGCGGTTATCGGCTCCTGCTTCTTGGTGTTGCGGGCGGACGGGTGCAGTTACCAAATGACGTAATACAAAAGATTGAAAAGACACCACACAATACCCACACACCAACACAAAAGCGATCTAATAAAGTTTTCCGCAACATCAAGAAACACACATTCCAGTTTATCTCCATTCAGCGTTTTTTCAGGGAATGAATCATTCTAGAAAACGTTCGCAGAGTAACAGCCAGGACCGTTCGTCTAGCCGTCCGACAGAAGAATCTAAAAAACCTGAAGACTATAAACTGGCTGGATACAGGGCTGTAAATAGGATAAAATGGACGCTCCAGGGTTACGGCGACTGCCTGCGGCCAGTCGGGGGAGGGGGGTACTCCTATAATGGCCTATACGGGAAGGTTCCGCCCGAACGGGGTACCTTTCTCAGGCTTCAGGTATAACAAAGGGTATAGGGATTTCATTAGTTGCAGTATATGAAAGGGTAGGAAAATCCGTTATTTCGATTTGTAAACGGACCAAAAAGGGCTATCATACGCATTTTATGGACGTGAAAAAGGCAAGAAAGGTGCATTTACAGCAGTTAAAAGAGTTGCAGTGTTTCAAACTAGGTCATCATCATCATCATCATTATCATCATCATCACTTGGTATGGTATGTGAAAGACGCGCATTTACTCTGTGAAAGGTATACGAAAGGGGTCTCTTTTCTGTCAAAAATGCTATATAAAAGGGTAAGGGGTTGGACCTCGGGAAAGAGCCTCCCCGTATAAAACTTCGTTGAGTATTCTTTCCCCGGGCGCCTGTCGGTTATAAGGGTTTGTCGACATTGACGTATACGACATATACCGCATTGTCATTGCAGGGTCTGTTGTGGAACTTTCCCGCACCACGTGACTCTGAATCAGTTTTTCACGTCTGCAATGTACAGTGCTTATCACAGGGAAGGCTACCGCGCATGTCTAGACGCTGAGATAGAGCTTTTCTTCTCGGATGTGGAGACTGGTGAAAAGAAATAACCTAGAGATCAGCTACCATCAACCAATCGACGACGACGGCAACGAGGACGGAAAAAAGCAATAGGATTAGATAAGCAAAACAACAACTTTGCACGTGCATCATGCTTTTTTGTAAATTTCGTTCCCGTCGTTGCACGACCACAACGTGAAAGCGCCTAAATTTACGTTTTCTGGAGGAAGTGAACTCAAGACAACGATTTTCTGCTAGATAAAGTCCTTTAGAATTCATCGCTAGAAAATTTCCCCAAATTTGACAAATTGAACAACATGGAATAAAAGCGATGAGTTTTGAAACAGTGTCAATTCACTTTTTAACAGACGTTTTCGCTGCCGTCGTCGTCGTCGTTGCCTAAGCTCCCTCCTGGCGAACGGCCGAAGATCTCCGAGCACCAACAACAATTAAGTTTTGCGCATTCTTAACACAAAGCTAAAAAATAATAAACAAAGTGTCTTTTCTTCTTGTTTTCCCCGGTGTGTCTGACATTCTATGTCAGTTTTTTTTTTACTATGGTAACTTAACTAACTGATGCACCGTATAAAAGTTTGTTCAGCTTTCATTTCTTGTTAAAACAGTTAAAGCCTGAATAAACAGAGTTATCTTAATCCAGACATTACTATTTTATTTATGCAAGCACTTAACAACATCACTGGCCCGATTTCTAGGGTATTTTCTAAAGAGCTGTGCTTTTCATCAATCAAGCGCCAAACTGAACTATCCAAAAATCGTTCATGCCACTGTGCATGATTTGCGCGCAATTCACTACTTTAGAAACGAGAAAGAAACTTAGCCGAATTGCTCTCGCGAAGGCTTCTGGGACTGTAACTAGGGACAAGGAAAATATTAGCCAATAGCTGACCGTTGCGTCCTCAATAACGATCCCAGAAACAATTGCGGGACGCATTCGGCTCCAGTTCCCTTCTTGTTTGGACGAGTGGCATGTTTTCCCGCTCTTTGGACCGGTTGCAAGATTTCCCGCCGTTGCTACCGGTTGCAATCAGAGTGGATCCTTGCTTACAGCCGTAGATAGTACCGCCTCCAAATTTCTGTTGTTCGAGCAGCCTCATTCCCAGGTCAATTCGCGCTATCCGAGTGAGTGAAGGAGGCTAGGAACCGAGCGCGAATTTTCCCGGCAAACTTGACGGGTGAAGTTACATCCGAAATCGCTGAGGACGACTGGGAACGAGGCTGTTGTTCCAGTAGAGGGGTTGCTATGGTTGCGCGTCTGGGATTTACTGTATATCTAGTTGTCAGTCACAGTAGCGCTTTGATCCGATCGATATGAAGCACTCTTCGCACCGTTTTCTGCTGTATTACTTTGGCTGTTAAGCCCTACTGGTTCAACGTCAGCAGACCCTTGCATTTTGATTAAAAGCAGCTTCTTGAAAGCTCGTCTGTATTCTGGACTGCTCAAAGCATAAAGAACTGGATTTAAAGAACAATGCATGTATGCCAGCCAGCAAGTTACTGTGTCAGCTATTTCCACATTGCAATTGGCCACTCCTTCATCCACGAGTATCATGATGTTGATTATTTCAAATGGCAACCAGCAAATCACAAAGCATAATACGACAATTCCAAGGGTCTTTGCGAGCTTTAATTCCCGCGCAAACTTCCTTCCACTGACCTTACCGGCCGATGACGACGAGTCTACAGTTGATGACATAACAAGCAAAGAGCGTCTTGCGTGCCCTTTAGCAATTCGGTATATCTTATAGTACAAGCCGATCATGACACAGAATGGAAAAATAACGTTGCCAATGATGAGAAAGCCATGAAAAACTGGGTGTAAATCAAAACCATAAACTCCATCCTCTGGTTGTTCCAAGAGGAAAAAGATTAACACGGCGATAATAAAGGAATACACCCATACACTTGCGATCATAAACTTGTTGAGCGTGGGCGTCATCCAGGCATTGTAGCGAAGTGGATAAACGACTGCTAAAAATCGATCTATACTTATTGACGTGAGGTTCAGCACTGAAGCAGTAAGGAAGAGAAAAAAGAGCGAATTCCATAAATTGCAAGCTATACCCCCTAAAGGCCATCGAGGAAATGCTATCCAGTACACAGCGTCGAACGGTAAAACCGTCACCGCCACCATGATGTCAGATAGCGCGAGGCTAAGTATAAAATTCTCGGAATAAGATTGTAAATAAGAGAATTTTATGCCCGCCACACACACGAGGGAATTACCAAAAAGGCAGGTTAGCATTATGAAAAAGATAAAAATTAAGCCCACGATTGTAAACCATGCTCCAAAGTCGCCCTCACAAATGAGCGATTCCAAGTCTTCGTCTTGTGGTTGTGAAGCGTTGACTTTCATCGTTGAGTCTGGTAATCTTCGCTGTCGCAGCGAGGAGAGCTTAAAAGTCGAAACCATATTGTTAGCCAGCATGTAACATTGAGAGATTTACGATCTCTAATGACCTGCGCTGTTCATTGTTCACTTATATGTACTAAAACTCATTACCTTTCGCAGACAATATACGAAGAATTTCCAGAGTTTCTCCTCTGAGGAGCCTCGCCCAGTCGTTCTTATAGATCAGTGTTGTCATTCAGTTTCTTTAATTCTCTCATGAAACTTCAACAGATATGATTAACAAAATGCTCAGAATGAAAATGATATAAATTTGTATTTGCCAGAGGTATTTGCATGAAAAAAGCGATGTTCAAATTTATGAATAATGTTACAGTCTTGTATTTCAGTTGTCACTTTTCAGTTTCGTAAATCTATAATCTGTTTACAGGGAGACTTGAAGTTTTTCTTCTTCTTGCGATGAAAGTTTTTTTCAGGCACAATCAGTTTGTCCCACTGTGGAAGGAAAATAAATATCCAGAATAATTATGTTTTGCCTCTTGATATCCAATATCTGTACGATATGTGGACCTCACACAGCTAGCTCACAGCATTTCAAATACAGAATGACTTCAAACTTCAAACTTTCTACTTGACTTTTTGTTTCTAAACACGCTGGGTGGAAACTTTATCCTATCTTAACTGTCAGTCCAGCTCAAGATTTCTAAACGCCAACATGATAATCAAATATTAAATTTCTACCGCTCTAGACGAATTATTAATATTTACCTTGCGCAGAGCTAGTCTATTCTCTGCCTCATCAAAGGGACCAATTTACATAAAAAATATCCAGCGACTAAAAAAGTACCATAACGGCCAAATAAAAAATTAACTAATAAAGCTGACCATTTTTTTAACCTGAGTTTTGTAACAATCAGATAAATATTTCGAGTAGTGATTACTTATACCAGACTATTTGCAGAATACTCTTTACAGTTTTAGAAACTCGGTTCTATTAGACACTTACATTTCTTTTAATGGTAATTGCTTTTCCAACACGTCAGTGAGTTTTCGCGACATGTTCATCCATTATCGTCAGCTGCAGTTTACACTTCTTCTGCGATTTGAGCAGCTGTTTACATATTTGTCTAATTATGTGGGGCTTATGACACATAAACAATAATTTCTGAACTTGTAGTTTGTATTTGTGGTTTAGAGAATGGTGGTGAAATTTCGATGAAAAACCCTTTCTCATAATTATATAGTCTAAGGAATTGTTTTCAACATTTAACTGACGAAGTATACAGTGATTTTCGTGTATAAAATGCGAAAAGTTTTACCCAAGGAAATATGTTTCTCTTAGCTATACAATGTATGTTGTTATCGATGTTGTTAAAAATACAATTTTCTATATTTTGTTTAGTATTGACTTTTTAATGATTTTAATTTTAACCCTACAGCGATGAAAGGATAGGTTTCCAATTCAAAATAATAAACCCTTCCAAGGGTTTTTCCGAGGTTTGATGAGGATCATTTGGCAAAAGTTTGTCAACACCGCCGAAAAAAGCGCCTTAACTTTAATAAACTTGCCAAGAATGAAAGCGAATTAGCTTACCAAAGTCGACCAATTTTTTTCTGACGTATCTGACGTTTGTATGCTTGGGGGGCAAGTGGTACAAGCGTCTGTAAAATTTTACGACTATGCCGGGCTGTTTCGTTGCGCTTGGGCCATAAATCGATGGAAAAAACTCCGTCCGTGATTGTAGAACGGACTTCAAACTCAGCACTTAATTAGAGGTATTTTTAAAAATCCCTTTCACTGTTCACATGTCTCCCGTCATTCCTGACTGACAAGGGTGAGTCCCTCTGCAAATCTAGCTTGCTGATTATTAACCCATAACTGTTTAAAACTAAAACGTGAAAATTTGAAAGGGTTTGAAACGAAATGCAAAGGTAAATGGGCAGCTAAAAATATTTTTTTCATTTTTAGCTTGAAATGGGGAGAGTTAACAATCAAGGTCTTCCCAGTCACTTATTCGGTTACTCTCACCATATGAATTTAAAAAAATCTCCCTAATGGACGGCCGATAGATAGGCATCTGTTGAAAAGCAACACGCCTGGCATTATGACCTTTTCCTTTCTCTCTCCTTCTCTCTCTAACAGGTGCAGGTGACGGGATTAGTCTGCGGGCGAGTGCTAAAGTAGTGGTTGCGGAACCGGCGTCACGAGAGGACTCAGGAGCGAATCAAATTTCCTAGCCTGCGAATGGCAGAAGTTTCTCCTCGCTCATGGCCGCTGAGGGACGTTTCGCGATGAGGAACGTCTGCGAATCAGCGACAGAAATTCCATACTGATGACGTAAATCAATGTTTCCTCCTCGCAAAACGTCCCTCAGCGGGCGATGAGCGGAGGAGCCCGGGGGGCCCGGGCGGAGGAGAAACCTCTGCCGTTCGCAAGCTACAAATTTCCCTCTCGGCTTGCGAAAATCCCGCACTTTGCCGATAGCTTCGCGTGGTAAGTACGCATAGTGATCCCGCCAGCTACACAGGCTGCTTTTTATCCAACACGAAATTTTGTTTCGCTGTTACGGGCGGGCGACCGGGCGAGTTTCGCGTCCAATGATGTGGCTAGTACCCAGTTCTTTCCCGAGACAGCGTTATTTCCCAGCAAACCCCGCGCGCTCGGACGTGGAACGTCATCAAATCCAACATGGACACGGCAGTGCCGGTAAGTTCTTCTTCAAAATACTACACTTTTACCCGGATTTCATTTCATGTCTGCTTTGTGGACACCACCAAACGTATTTATTGAAATCTATATCTTTAATATTTTCACCCCTTGACACGAGATCAAGGCTTAATACACCACAAACTTAAACCTTGTTAGGGGCATGTATCGAGTCAAGATAAACTTTAACTTCATTCAGTTCCTTCCACTTTTCTTTCTTGGATGGATTCGGGAATCAAAGTGTGATTTTTACTCCTCTTTATTTAAGGAACCTTCTCTATATACGGTGAAAGCCATTGCTATTCTAGACAATGATGGAGAAAGAGTTGTAGCAAAGGTGAGGTTGCGTACGTCTTTGAATCACAATTTTTTTGTTTTGACTTTCTCTTAGTCATAGACGTGTGTTATTGTAATTCTTGGGTAACGTTCCCTTCCTCATTGTGTCAAAGATTATTTCAGAAGATGAGCTCTATGCTTGTGGAACAGTGAAAGTTTGAGATTTCCACTCAGCCCCGACGTTTATTATGCATGTAGCAATTTCATATTATTAATTTTCACACAAACATTTGATATGAATAGAGTCGAAAAATGTATGCATAATAAATGTATGGGGTTGTATGGAAACGTCACCTCCTCTTTTGTGAAAAGGAAACAAGCATTTTCAAATCCCATGTGACCTCGTAATGTTTTGTCAAGTATTTTACCTGGCAAAAAGATAGAGGATTTTCATTTCAAGGCAGTTTTCAGTGGGATCCTCAATACTACACATGGCTGCAGTATCATAGTGTTTAGCATACCAATATGGTTTATGTGTTGTAATTCAAAAATGCCTCACCCATATAGTCATGGAATGAAGTAGAGAGGTCTTAATGCCCTTTGTCTGTCCCACAGGGCTGGTAAGGGTTTTGCAGGGTTCTTAAAAGTAGCCGGCTGCTGGCGAAAATCGTCGCCTACTTGGTTAGTATCAGCCGGCTATTCTGCTTGGAATTTCTTTATGGATGGCGTTTTTTAAATAAAATATCCCTGGACTGGCCACTTACTTTGACAACTCAGCCATCTACTTCAAAACTTTCTAACAACCCTGGTTTTGGACCCTTATGTGGTTGCAAGCCAAGAATACCCAAGCATACAAGGCGGCCATGTTGGTGGTGTGTCGGTGGTCAATACAATAGAATTTTTCTGAAGAATTTACATGGATATAGGGTTTGGTCCCCAGAGGAGAGAAATACTTTTGTTCTTGACCACCAACACACCAACTTAACATGGCTGCCATGATGTCATGTGCAAACCGGAAATAGAGGTGGCGACGAAGGTTTGAAAGCCCCAATCCTATGTTTTAAGGATCCCGCTTAGGGAAAAAAACAAAAATTAGATGGTATTTTGATTCTTGTTTTGAACAAAAAAATTATGAGCAATGACCTGTCAAAGACCATCAAATGGATTACCAATCAAAAGCACCTCTTAGAAGTTGACATAGACAGGATTCCCATAGCGGGAGATGAGACTCCTGTCTTCGTTTTTGAGAGATAAAAGTAGCAAATCATTCCCTGGAAATAACAAGTTGAGATTGGTCATTTGCTTTCGAACAGCACTGTGCCTCCAAATCCAGGGTATAAACTTAATATAGTGTATGAACTTTTTTGATTTTACAACATTGATCATAGATCATGCAGTTATTTGCTGCTTAGAATACTGTATGACATTAAAGAACATAAGTTAAATATTTGTAATCTTGTCTTAGTATTATGATGACACCTATCCAACAACAAAGGAACAAAAGGAGTTTGAAAAGAATCTCTTTAACAAAACACACAGAGCTAATGGTGAGTTTTCTATTTTCCTGTAAGTTCTTGGTTTGTCAGGCAAATCATTGATGCTTTTGTCAGTTATATTACGGTACTGAATAACAAAAGTACAAGATTTATTAAGATAAATATGATATTTGTTTACTTTATCAACCTTCTAAGCCCCAAGAGTGACCAACATCAATTTTCTCCTAACAAGATCAATACATAATCAAAAGAAAAAGTTGTGAGAATTCATGAAATGTGCACCGTAGGGCAAATGCTATGATCTTTTAACAAATTCTCTCAACTAATGTTTAGGGAAATATATGGAGATCAGTCGGGAGAATTTGTTTGTTGATATTGGGGCTTAAAAGTGTTAAGGCTGTGTTAACATCTGGTGCCTCAACGTACAGGGCTGTCACTAAGGTTTCAAATTGCTAGGTATATGGGCAGGGGAATCGAACAGCTAGGAGGTTTTTTTTGGTTCTAATTACCTATAGTCTCCTACGAAAGTAGCCGGGGGTCATGCTTATAGTCACTAGGAAAAAACTCTGGTCTTCTACCCCTTGGTGACAGTCCTTTGAGTATAATAATTAGTTAGTTGATGGACAAGAGGGCAATAAAATAATATAATAATATAGTGATACTGTGTTCAGACACTGGATACCCAATATATAATGTTATGTACTTATTTCTTTTAATTTATGGCTTCATATGTCGTTTTGAAAATTAGTGTGAGTGTTAAAGAGCTGGTAAGTAAAATGGTGGACTGTAAATAGAATGCCCATATGAGTCACATCAAAAATTTACCCTTTTACTGATATGAATATTTAAGGAAAGGTGTGTTCATGTAAGTTCCCAGCCACCTAAGTTTCAATGTACATGTGTACCTACTTGTATGTGCCCCCAGAAGTCTTCATTTCTGACTGATAAAACTAGAATCTATATTTTCATTTTAACAGCGGAAATCATTATGTTAGATGGCTTGACTTGTGTTTATAGAAGTAACGTGGATCTGTATTTTTATGTGATGGGCTCATCCAATGAAAATGAGGTACAAGTATAAATTATAATTAGCCTTTTACTTTACACTCTAAGGACAAGCAGGGCTGTCATTAGTAGCCGGTAGCCAGCTTTTGTGGCAGGGTACTGCAGTAAAACAACTGGCTACTTCGAGTTTCTTAATAAGTCAAACATTACAAACTTAGGAGAATTTGTGGGATAAATGACCGTTTACTCTTCCGAAGAGACCAGCTACTTAAAGCCTTAATGACCGCCCTGATAAGGGAAGATCATGTAGATTCCTGTAGATTCTGACTGGCGAGTTTGGGTCATATGTGAGTTGGAGCTCACAAAAACTGCACCTTGTTTTTGTTTGGTTATGTTTTTACCAGGCTGATTTACTAGCTAAACATTCTTGCTTATAGACCGAGGTTGACTAGTTAACTTTAAACAGTTTTAGCTTTGAAATTTAACTGGAATCTATAAGCCAGTAACTTGTAGGATTCAAATTACAAAAGTGTGCCACATTCAAAAATGGTAGTAGAAGAAGGGAGATTAAGTGCTTTAATTGATTCCCACTATTTAAATGAGGGAGAAGGAGTTTCCTCAGAGAATGCAGGTAATTGCGCTAAAGCAAGAAATGTTGTAATCGAGTTCATTGCTCTAAGAAGTGTGCTTTTATCCAAGGCCACAATTCTGGAAAGGAAAGAAGTGGTAATATTAATGCATGTATTTTTGTTTATAGTTGATCCTAGGAAGCGTTTTAAATGCCTTTTATGATGCAGTCAGTCTAATGCTGAGAAAGAATGTAGAGAAGAGAGCCTTGATGGACAGCATGGATGGAGTTTTGTCAATAGTAGATGAGATTGTGGACGGCGGGTAAGTTCAGCTGTAATTTTATTCTTGTTTACTTACAGTGGCTGTAAATAACTTGATGGGTTTACCTCGGTCAAGCTCAAGTTTTCCCACTGTGGTGTAAAACTTAATGAACTGGCATCAGCCATAGCTCTGTAATCTGTAATTTTATGGCAATATTTTTCAGGGTTATCTTGGAAGCCGATGCCTCTACTATCTTACAAAGAGTGGCCATCAAGGTAAAATTTCTTGTCTAAAACGAATGCTGAAGTGCAAACTCTAGATTCAAATGCTGAAGTTTGCAGTGCTATATTTTCATTGTTATTTGGCTGCAGATGGCAAAAGTGTTGGGACGTTTTCAGTTATATTAAAAAAACCAGCAACTACCCCCTACACCCCCAAAAATGTTGAATTTTGAGCAAAATAGGAGGAAATGAGTCCTTCTTTTGGGCACAACATTGCTCGGGGGAGTGAGAAGTTGAAGGGATGAACCTTGCCTGCGTGCAGACGTCTCCTATTTCCTTTGTTGCACGCGGAAAAGGGATGTCTGCGTAACGCCGTCGCTAATCGTGTTCCAGCGTCCCGTTGGCAGGGAATTCTATTTCGCATAAATTGTGAAATAATATCCGGTTAGTAATAAGAGTTGACAGGCCAAACACAATATCATAAGCTCGTGATAATGCGAAACGTGACCTTGAGAGTCTGCTTGCACAGAGGTTTTTCTTCTTTTCTCTCTCGCACTACACAGTGCATGTAGCAGTCTAAATTTTGACTGAGTAAATCTCGTTTTTGCCGCACTTTGTCTTACATTTAGAGGTCACGAGGCAGGCTTGTTACATGCACACTGAGTAATCATTTCCTGTGCTTTATGCCTTTGTGGGTGTTCCTGATTTGATTTCAGATGTAGTTCTAAAGTGTTTAAATTTTCTTTGACCTCTGTTTGTTACGGCTAAATAAAGATTTTAGTTTTTTGGCTGGCTTTCTCCGAAATGCCTGCCTGGTGCGAAGTCCACGCCGCTTTTGTACGGTCTGCACAGAATGGCACATGTTTTGATTTGTTTTGACTGGAAAACCCCGATTACATAAATCACTGCATACATTATCAGACCAGATTCAATAACAACCAATCAGCGTTAAGTCGAACAATGCGCACTGTGTGTCAGCTTATCACAACATGTTCCCAAGATCTTGGGAACCCAGCGGGACGCTGGAACACGATTAACGACGGCGTTACGCAGACGTCCCTTTTCCGCGTGCAACAAAGGAAATAGGAGACGTCTGCACGCAGGCAAGGATGAACCCAGAGCTGATGAAAAAAATTGTCATTAGGAGCCTATGAAACAGTCATTTGAAAAGGTTTTTTACAGTGTCTGGAGTTCTTTTGACCTCTATTTTCATTACTGGGCAGCTAACAATTTCAACTCACTTGATAAAACTAGTTAAGTTTGTTGTTTATGTTCCCATAAGCACACTGAGTAGCACAATGTCTTTATATGTGACCCCCCTCAGATCATTTTTTAAAAGGGGTGCAAGTAAAAAAAGCCCCATTTGACTGTACAATATCAAAGCTATTGGAGTCAAGCAATTAACTGAAATAAATAATTAAAATTAAGCACAAGAAGGTTGAGAAGTGTAGCCATGAACTTTAACTTCAACTTGGAAATACATAGAGGCAAATCCAGCTACACCTGTAGTGTCCAGGGCGGGACCCACTCTCTTATAGCCTGATTACGTGTCAAACATTTTATTCACTTGGCTTTTCTGTCTCCTTTAGTTTCATAGCTGTGATATGTTTTTATGACCGTAAATCTGACACATTTATTTTTCTTTTTCAGAATGATGATGTTCCACTGTCAGAGCAGACAGTCGCACAGGTAAAGAGCTATGTCACAATAAATTGAAAATTAGGATATCACTGTGCAAAATAAGTTGCCCCTAGTTTTTTCATTACCTGTGTGATGAAATCCTAAAGTGTGACTATTCAAATGAAAGCTATTGAGCAGTATTTTCCTGTGGTACTGTTTATTATGCTGTACAAGGTGGTTCTAACTTTTGAGTCTGTGGATGAAATCCTAAAATGTGACCATTCAAATGAAAGCTATTGAGCAGTACTTCCCTTTAGTACTGTTTATTATGCTGCACAAGGTGATTCCAAGGTGTAACCATTCAAATGAAAGCTACTGAGCAGTACTTTCCTGTGGTACTGTTTATTATGCTGTACAAGGTGGTTCTAACTTTTGAGTCTGTGGATGAAATCCTAAAATGTGACCATTCAAATGAAAGCTATTGAGCAGTACTTCCCTTTAGTACTGTTTATTATGCTGCACAAGGTGATTCCAAGGTGTAACCATTCAAATAAGCTACTGACCACTGCTTTAGATGTTCTCTGTTAAGAACAATCTTTGATTTTATACAACCTTGAACTAGAAAATATTGGAGAATTAATCCTCATTTTTTCTTTTATTTATTCATTTTGTAGGTTTTACAGACAGCCAAGGACCAGCTGAAGTGGTCTCTCTTGAAATAATAGGAAAATGTTTCAAGTAAAAGTAGAAAATTATAAATTTTTGTTTAATATACCATTGTTACAATGTACATCAGTTTTTTTCTGTATCCCTGGTAACAATCCCAGAAGTCTTAGTGAAGGTTAACTCATCCCAGTTTCCCTTTTGTTTTCAAAGGGATGAAAACCTTGTTCCCAGGTTCTCTCTCCTAAGGGACGGGTAGGAGAGAACCCTGGGAACACGGTTGAAGTGACGAATAGCTTGTACTATGCCTTGATTGTTATGTATTAACACCTATGACGACATAAAAGAAACTAACTTAAAAATAAAAAAAGTGAAAGAAAATACAAAGTGACTCAGCATACATTGATCTCTGTGTTGTTTCATCCGTCTAAGCTCCTCTTCCGCTTTCTGTTGCTCTTATTTGGTCTGCCTTGACATAATAGGCTGATTTAGCAACAGTACGGGAACATCAGTTGACGACGGGAAAGCGGAAAGGGCTAAACACGACTTCCGGTGCCCAATTTGCCGCTGTGCCATTGGTCAAGCCAGTTGTTTAATTTGCGTGCTCTGTCTTCAACTGATGTTCCTGTTCTGTTGCTAAATCAACGTAATAATTAAAACCCCCTTTCTCTTCCCTTTCAAACGCCTGCCACTCAGGCTACTCATGACAAGTAACCTAAACCAAACGTTGTGATGTTTTTACTCAATGGCAAAACCTTATAGATCAGAAACGAAACTTACGAAAACAAGAACGAAAACCATCTGATCTTCATCTACATGTCTCGTATGATTTTGATAGTGTTGAAGAAGAAGAACTTGACTACTCATCTCCTCTTCACAAATCCAACAGCTGTGTGTCTCAACGGTAGCTGATTGGAAGTTTACGACATGTCTTCTGTTTCTAGAGTCTCTTTGAGTCAGTTGGTTGTTTGTAACTCCTGAACTGATATCAGTTCTCTTAAATCCTCCGCTATTGCGCTGACAAAGCAAATGTTTAGATGCACGTCTGTTACCATGACGTGTACCCCTCCTTGCTTTAGTGTGGACTTTTTCGTGTCTCCTAAGGTTACCGACTCTGCTAAAACACTTGCCACACTGTTTACATTCATATGGCTTCTCTCCAGTATGAACTCTTTCATGCATCCTCAAATTTCCTGTTCGTTGACAACACTTACCACACTGTTTACATTCATAAGGCTTCTCTCCAGTATGAACTCTTTCATGTCTTTTCTGGTGCCCTGCTCTGCTAAAACACTTGCCACAATGTTTACATTCAAAAGGCCTCTCTCCAGTATGAACTCTTTCATGTCTTTTCTGGTGCCCTGCTCTGCTAAAGCACTTGCCACACCATGTACATTCAAAAGGCTTCTCTCCCGTGTGGACTCTCTGATGTGACTTTATATTTCCTGATCGACTAAAACTCTTGCCACATTGCTTACATTCATAGGGTTTTTTCCCAGTGTGAAGTTGTTCATGTGTTGACATGCTGCTTCCTTTATCAATCCTTTTCATCATAAAATAAATTAAGTTAAACAATATAATCCAGTGAGGTAGACAAAGGAGCACTTTCCCAAGATATGGACAAACTCCCAAAGGTACCTGCAACAATACAAACATTTGTTACATGTAAGTAGTAATTACAGGTGCAATGAAATTATTTACCATTGTACCGTTGAAGCTGACATTTTTCAAACCTTGTCTTGCAAAACTATTGATAACGCGATTTTGAATGAAAACACATCAGTGTTCAGGGCCAGTATATACTTTATGTAAGACTTTGTATAATGTCCTGAGCCACACCCATGGGTTGATTTGCAGTTATGCAGGGTGGGGTGGTTGATGTTGCAAATTACTTTAAGACAATTAAGAGAGACAATTTCCAGATTTTAGATCTCCCGTATTTACAAAATCCTAACCACCCCCAGCCCGCTTGTCTTTGCAACACTGCCTAACTAAAACAACGATATATCTCCACTAAACTGTAAGTTTTAAATGTCATAAATCGCTGGGAACCCTACAACTTAAGTCTGTCTGTCCGCTATAGTCGGCGCAACAAGCGTTTCGACGCGAGTTCGTTGAAGGTGGAACGCTGTTGTTCAACAAATTCGCGCGGAAACGCTCAGTGTTACGAAGGCAAATATAATCAGCTCAATCCGATACACTCATGGGATTTCTGAGCAACAATTTAACCTAGCGGTAAACATATGTGGAAACGCTTGTTACGAAGGCCATTATAATCCGCTCAATCCGATACTCATTTGGTGCAGTACTAGCCTTTATAACATGTGCTTTCTGAGCCAAGCGAGGCGAACTCGTACATCAGTACAGGCTTAAAATCTTAGCTCTTTTCTTGTGACGATTAATGCTAACACGTAAATCACTCTAAGATATATATATAATGTACTGAGAAGCTCTCCTTACCTTCAGCAATTTATAAATTTCTGAGATTTGCAGGAGTCGACAATGATAAAGTGATGACTCAGCGTGTTTTATCCAGTCTTCCTCGGACATAGGAGACGGTCGACAGGGTCTGAGGAAGAATTCCGCTGCGTTCTGTGGTCTTCTGTTGGTGTTTGGCGAGTTTTGTCCGTCAAACCGTGCTAAATCCTCCAGATAACAGTTAGCCTGCCTAGCAGGCTCCGCTTTTGTGGGGGGCGAAGGAAGAATTCTTGAGGACTCGCGAGGGGAGAAAAGGAGAGGGGGCCTCCTCTCCCTTTCGTGCGGGCGCAGCAGGGTAGATATTGGTACATATACGTTGCAAAAAAGGTCGCGTTTAAAAGATCATCATATTTAAAACTCCCTAATAACATCCGACGGTAATTTTGCTGAGACAATGGTTAATTTCCCTTCTCAGAGTTTACTGGTCCCCAGACTTCTGATGTTTGTTGGTCGACGCTGATGAGGAATTTGGTCCCGCCCACCCAATTTTGTCAAGATCGGAGTCCATCTCCCTCCAGTGTGAATTGGGCGCGACTGTTTTGGTTGGACAGTAACTCGAAACTTTTAGCAAGCAGCAAATAACAACAACAACATCCATGACAACAACAAGAAATAATGATAATGACAATAATAATAACGCAGGAGAAGGGGCCAACCATTCCGAGCTGATTTCGTAAACACTTTGTAGGGTCAATGTTTTGATACCGTGGGCATCGTTGGTTGCAAGTTTCAGACGATAGAAGGCCTGATCGATTATGTGACCAGATAAGTTGGATTTTTTTTCAAGTTATAGGCGTCTGTAGTTTTTTGACGCCCTTAGCTGGGGTATTTCTCCTCAAAGGATCTCCTTCATTGCAGTGTTTGGTCAGCGCCAGTGGTTCTTGATACAGTCAAACCTCAACTAACGGCCACCTGTCTACAACTGCCATTTTTTTTGGTTGACAGTCTGTACATTGACTCGTGTCTCAACCTCTCTACAATGCTCACTTTCTTCTGTCTCCAAGGTGGCCGTTGTAGAGAGGTTCAACTGTATTTAACAATAATATTGAATGTCCCTGAGTATAATGTGAAGAACTATGCAGATCCACCTCGGTAGATCAGCGATTTTGTATTCAGTTGGGGCTACATACCATCGTATCGATGGTATATTCCCTATCTTCAACTGATTGTAAGTGTCGGCTGGTTATGAGGAATTATGCCGGGGAATAGAGCCAATCAGAAGCGGCTAGATATTTTACATAATTAATTATCTTGGTTAACCCGGCCGGGGCTTGTCAACACTATTATTTCCTCTGGAAGAGTTTTGTTTTTCTAAGAAACTTGTTGGAACGATTTCACAATAAAATATTCTGCTTCATCTACCTGAAGAGCTTTGTTCAGGCGCCATGAGCTAATCAAGTTTAGCGTTATACTTGGCCAATGCGGGCGCATCGTCTTTAAGATATCGGATATCTTTGTCGCGATCGTTGTAAATTTAGCAAATCCTCTTCTGATCACGACAAAGCTGTGGTTAGATTTAAAAGGTTAATTCTGTAAGGGACAAACCCTACAGTTCTTTAAAACTAGAAATCGTGCGTTTCACGTACCATTAAGCAAGTCTTCTGCGTTAAGATACTCATCAATCCCAAAAAAGTTCAAGCCCACCAGGCGGTTCTTTTTCATCGTTGACCTCAAAAAACTTTTTACTCTTCTCTGCAGCTGCTGTAGTATTGACACAGCTGGATGCGCTGTAAGTGCCCCTGATAAACTGGGAACTCTTGTGAAAGCGAATGCGGAAGTGTTGAATCAATAGTGGCTTGCTGATCTTCAAGCATTCATGTTTCTGGAATTATCGAATATCTTCTAAACTCGAAAGTTTGTCGTAAGAAAGTTGAATTTTTGTTTCAAGTGGGCAGAAAAAATGTAAAACCGAGCCTATTGGCCTAGCTATAGCTATGTCTGTGACTTGGAAACCTTCACTAGTTGGTGTGTTATTTTATTTTTTATTTTTTTGCATCCATGTCAACTATCCTTGCAGAAATTAAGGAAGGAGAAAACATGCACAACTTACACTGAAACTGGTCTGCTTGAACATTCAAAGGTTACAAATTCTATTTAAAAAATCCATATTAGGATCGTTCTTCATCAACTGCTCGGTCGGGTGCACGGTAAGCGGTCACATTAACGATTGTTACTAAGTAACAGTTCAGTATACTGGCATGCGACAGTTTGCTTTCTTGAGTCTTGTGGGAATCGTCAGCTTTTCACTTGTTTCATCAGTTAGGCAGTAGAGAAAACTTCGCACATTGCTGGTTTTTACATTTTTCAAAGTCAAATAGATTTGTTTTTTTGAAAGGGGCAAAAATTGAAAGTTCATAACATGATTGAAACTACGTTTTCAGACCTACCACAACTTTATAGTCGCCCAATGTAATGTCCACGCCGTGGATTCGGGATTCGAGCTACTGGATTCTGGATTCTTTTCACTGGAACTTGTATTCTGGATTGCAATCATTAGTGGGATCCTGGATTCCCTTAGCTGTAGCTTAGGATTCCGGATTCCACAAGCAAAAAGTCCCTGACTCCAGAATCCAAATTTTCTTAATCCAAGCTCCATCCACTTTTAAACACTGAG